CATCAGATCTACAAATTTTGAATTTGTAGGTCTGAGATATATATATATATGTGTGTGTGTGTATGTAAAAACAATTGGATAAAGCAATGCATGTCTAATGCCGTTCTACAGTTTCCCCTATCCACACTAGTCTTTTTTTTTTTTTCTTTTTTTACAATGTTCATCCTGTACAAAGCCTAAGAACCACTTGTGGTAGAGGGTTACATAGTAAAAGGTGCAGTTTATGGAAATATGTTTGCATGATAATGGTTAACTCTAGACTTCAGCAAGTTAAGATTACAGTGATCAGGGGAAGCATCCTCTTGGGAGTTGGTTCCGCAGAAGCAGTGTTCATGGGAAGAAGTTGTTTGAGTGGAACTTACATCCCACCAATGGAATACGAAGTGAATGAAGGTAGTTCGATACAATGTGCATGGTATGACTGGCCTTATCCATCAAGGTTAGAACTAAGGAATATAGTTTGTCTGAACACTTTCCATGGAAATCAAGTAGCGAGAGGTTTGAAACATTTTGTCTTAAATATAACAAAGAAATATCAGAATGATTGGTACAATACAGAACTCACTGTAAAGAAAAACTCAAAATACTTAGGCTTGGAAAAAAATTAATCTTTGTCCTCAGGTACTTTTGTGATCAACTAATCATAAAAAAAAGAATTTACGTATAATATTGTCTGTATGTGATACATATCTATTTAAATTAGAAATATAGTGTTTCAAAAATGCCAGGATGAAGCTAATAAATTATTTTCTATATGACTTAATTAACTTTTCCCATTCATGCAAGATTTTGATAAAAAAATATTTTTATATAAGAGCAAATATTGTCTGCACCTATTAATTATGACACTTTAATGGTTTTTCTGAAATGAACTCTTAAGATACTGGTTTTCTTGTTGAAAAAGTGATGTTGCCATTTTTGCTTTTGAAGTGGCTGATAAAACTTTGTGCCTCTTGAGATTTTGTTTCTTAATTTACTCACTTTGATTAATAGGCAGGTAGCATCTATAAAGGTGAGGGTCCCAAATTTTGCAAAAATAAATTTTTATCTATTTATTTATATTTTTAATCATTTCAGCCCAAGCGAGGTGATAATGCCACATAAGTGGTTACTGGGAATGAAAGAGAATGAGTAGACTTTAGTGTGGGGAAAAAGACAATAGAAAAATGGGATTCAAAGAGACAGAATATGACGATTGACATTGCATTTAAATTTTTGAAGATTGTAGGTGGTCAGCAAACAAATAATTGGAAGAATGATCCAGAGGTGAGAAGAGCAAGAAAAGTAACACCTAGAATGGAACTTAGGGTTACATCTAGCTATTTCAACAGTAAAATAATGGGACCTAATTGCCAATCTAGTAGTATTCTTATTCATTTTATTTGTTTTCTTTTGTTTTGTTTTTTTTACTTTGAGAGCTTCTTGGTCAGTGTTCAGGAACTTTTCAACACCCACTTTGATCAGTTAAGTAGATGGTAGTTAGTTGTTATATTGAATCTTGTTAAATTTCCAGTGCCTTGTAATCAAATATTACTCTTTAGAAACCCCTTATTGAGAATTGTGCCAAAGGGGGGACACCTACTCCTTGACATTCACTTTTTTTCCTTTTTTTTTTGTTTTTGTTTTAAATAAACTACCCTTTCTTTCTCCTGCCCCCATTCTCCCTTCTATGACTTTTCACATTCTTCAGAACTGCATATGGTAGAGGTATTTTTGTATCGAAGGGTAGCTGTGAATTGCAACACACACGAGTTATGAAAAATTCTCAGCCTGGATAGCTTCCCAAAATCTAACTAATCAGGATTTTTTTTTTCTGAGACAGTACTCTTGGTTGAGCTGGGACTTTTCAGCACGCTTTCATCTCCAATTGCTCATAATCATATATATATATATATATATATATATATATATATATATATATATATATATAGCATTTTTTATATATATACACATATATAATTCCATATTATAGATTGTATTTGATTAATTTATGATGGGTGTATATGTAATTTAACTTTTGTAAATATAAGGCTAGGTTCCAAATGCATTAGATACATAGTCTTAACTTATAATTATGTTAACATTGTCAGACTTAAGTTTATTCCATAAGACATTACTTTAATAATTTCTGATAACGACCATTTTTTATGCAAAAAATGAGTTATTCCCCCTTGATACAAAGCATGTTTATGTAAACTGAAATTTTTTTTCCAAATTATTTAAAATTTTCGTCTTTCGAAATTAAGAATTCAAATGATATAAATTATAAATAATTAATTGTAATATAGGCAAAAATAATGAAAGTCTTAATACACAATTTTAAATCAACACCATGAGAATGGGAATTTCATAACGCTTTAGCACCTGAAGATTGTGTGCTTGCATGAAACTCCAAGTCATGCTATCAAGGTGGGATATTATGTATATTCACTAATATATACTTAATAGCTCTGTTATGTAACATTGAGTATTATTTTTATAACATCTGAGAAGAAAAAAAAATATATGTATGTACAAGTATATGTGCATATACATATGATTTTTTTTTTATGATACCCATATCTATCTACTCTCTCATATATATATATATATATATATATATATATATTCATTAAAAATGACTGCCAAGGTACTGCAATTAAGCTTTTTATTTAATTTTTCATGTGTTCATATAAGTGTTTTCTTTTCTGAACATAGTGTGTAAAAATTGTCCAAGTGTTCTCCACATCTGAGTGCTTTCAGATATTCTTTTAGCCATTATCAAGGCTGATTTTTTATTTTTAACTGAATGTATGGATTTTTTATGTATGTTATAGAAATGTTTTATTTTCCAAACATGGTCAAAACATTGTGGCCATGTTATATATAGTATGTGTAGGATAAAGAAATTGTATATTAAGCTAAGCAGAAACACAGATTTATAATCGCTTTTTTTTTCTTTTCTTTTTTTTTTTTTAATATATAATTTTTTTTCCTGTTACAACATTCAAGTCAAAATATAAGTAGTTGATTGAAAAAAAAAATGTCAGTCAGGTAACTGCTTAAAGCTTGATGTCAGCATTTTTGTAATTTAAATACTGATCTAGTTGTTCCCCTCAAATCGTGAAATGAAAGTTGTCCTAAATGACCACACATCATTTCGTACTAATGTAGGCATCCCTCAAGGCTTCATTCTTGGTCCTACGCTGTTTTTAATCTTCATTAATGACCTTCCTGATGACCTTAGCTCTCAACTTGCCATCTACACTGATAACACTACCATATACTCTTGCCTCGATAGTAAGGCTGATCAGTCTGACAAGGTCAAAATAGCAACCGATGTCCAAAACAACCTCAAGACCATCATTAAGTGGGGTAAAAGATGGCTTGTCAATTTTAACACTAAACTTCTCTCCATTAATCATCTAAGAGACCCCTCTCTGCCTTCCATCTGTATGGCTGATGCTATCCTCCAGGAAAGTGACACATTGTGGCTTTTTGGGATAAAATTCTCAGCTGACATTAAGTAAAAAGACTATATTGAATCCATTACTACTAAGAAAGTTGCTTTACTGAGAGCTAAGTGAGACAATTTTTTTCACTGGAGTCCATCTTGCATATCCATAAAGTTTACTATTCATCCAGACTTAGAATATTGCTGCCACATATAGTTCGGTGCCTCTCCTATTTAGCTGGAGCTTCTTGATAAGATCCAAAGGAGAATCAGCAATATTATTGGTCCTGATCTGGTGGCTCAGCTTCAGTCACTTGCCCACTGCTGTAATGTTGTCTCTCTATACCTTTTTTTAAAAAAAATACTTTCATGTTAATTGTTCAGGTGAGCTCTTCTTTATTGTACTAGTTTGGGCTAATTTTTAGAATTGTTGTTTTATTCCCCTCCCCCCACAGACAATGAATTGTAAATATGGGGACTAGTTAGTATTTTCATAGAGACAAAGAGGTAATATGGTGATTGTAGTAAGAATGGTACGTATGAATGTGTTTGTTTTGGTGTAAGGAATATTGTTTGTGTGATTGGGTCAGTGTTTGTGGCTAGCTAAGTTATAGTTAAGACAGAAGAAGACCGTCCTTTCCCCAATCCCCTCTTTGGCCATGTGCTACATTTCTGTATTTTAACAGAATAAATATCACTCTTCGTTATGGTACCTAGACTGTATGAATTTAAGAGCAGTACTAGACTAGTGGTAGCGAGATTTCATCAATTTACAGTTGAGCTGGTTAGATGTAGCCATAACTTCTATGCTGACAGTTTCTTTCTCATACTTCTTATTTGGGGGACTCCTTCCTGGCTTCTTGCTTTCCAGCCAACTTTAATCTTCAAATGTTTAAATGCAATGTCAATTGCTATCTGCTGTCCACCTGATTCCTCTTTTCTCTTTCTACTCATTACTGATGTTTCTGTTCCTAATTTCTCCACACCCTGTAAACCCCTTGCATGTTAGTAACTGTACTGTCTTGCTTGGGTTGATACTGATAAAAAAAAAACCAAAAAAACATTGTCATCTGTCTCCTTGAATCCTGTTATTTTTACTGTCCTTTCTTTCCAGTAACATTTTTTCGGTTTCATTCACTCTCTTGTATTTCATCATCAGTAACCCCTTGAATCTTAGTGGCTTTATTGCTTTGCTATGGGTGAAAATAATTTTTTTTATATTTCCTCTTCTACTATTCAAATGAAGCTTTATTTTAATTCTAATCAAACAAATAATTTTTTTTCGATTGTTTGACTAATCTCTATTGCGTTCTTTTGTGAGCCAAGATTGTAAGCATTTGACAAGTAAATGTTAGTGAATTTAAAGAATTTAATTGTCGCCATTGAAAATGTTGTTAACCACTCTGAGAGTCAAATGTTTTGTTAATGTATCAAGAAAAAGAAAATATTAATGTTTTATTCATTACCACGTAATTAGAAACAGAAACACACACACACACACACTTATGCCGTCTTATAAATGTATAAAAATATTGGAGGAATAAGAAACCTTGTTGTTTATTAGGCTATGATTCCACATATTCCCTTTCCTTGTCTCTCTCTCTTGCATAATTTTTTGAATTCTTATTTCTTTAACTCTGTATCTATCTATATTGGGTGTAACCCAATCTACATGTTTGAAGCCTAACAAAAGTTCTTTATGGTTTTTATATTTATTCTTCTTTAATTTGGACCATTTTCTAGTTTTCCATAAAGAATTTGAACATGAATTGTTTGGTCTTCTGAGCATTTTTTGCATTTTTTTAAAAGTTATTATCAAAAAATATTTTGTGGCTTGTGCCTAGGTATATGTTGTATTTTTGTTTGATGATTTTTAAGTATGGTGTCTTCACACATCAGTGGGTATCATATCAGGTTGTTTTTTTATCTATAATATCTTCATGTGTTAGTTTTTGGTGCCTTTTTTTATATATATATATATATATATATATATATAGAGAGAGAGAGAGAGAGTTAAAGAGCAAATGCAAATTGGAATCCGACAGGATGATAAGATAAAGAACAAATAGGAAACGTATATGAATCTAACATGTTTCACTTTTATTAAAGCTTTGTCAGAATTTGAGAGAATACAAATCAAAAGACAGAACCTTGGTATTTTCAATTTTGTTTGGCTAAACTCTCATTGGCCACTCAAATATCAAATAAATTGTTGACAATGTAAAAATGTTTATGCAGGGAGACATCATGTGATCTAAAAACCAACACATCTACAAACACAGGGATTTGCATTTAGAGAAATGATCTCATATTGCATAGAAACGATGCTGGACATAACTTTAATTTCACTAATGCTACCCTAATTAAAATAGAAGATAATTCTTTAAGGAGAAAATACTTTTAAAGATTAATAACATGATTACCAACTGTACATACACACCTAAAACATTACATTGCCATTCTTCTTTGAATCCATTCATAAAGAATCTAACTTATATCTAATATAAAGAGTATGTGCAAAAAAAGAACAGTCCCAGATAAAAGTGGAATGCCACCCCACTATGTTGGTTGACTACACAAAGGTGATGACATGAGAACTCTTCCTATTAGACAGACACACATACACAATTATGAATACCCATTACCATCTGATGCCTGCTTAGAGAGACAAGAATCTTTACAAACTTATATACATATAAAATTATCTACAGTTCTAATGCATGGGATACGTGACTGACTGATGAGGATTGACGCAAAGAAAACTGAAAATACTAAAGTTCTGTCTTTTTGTCTGTATCCTCTCCATATCTGATAAAGCTTTAATAAAAGTGATACATATTAAATCACAAACAAAGCCTGGTTTGATATCAGATTATTTATTTAAACTGAGATTTTTGAGGATTGAAAAACTACCATGATGAAACTCTGCAATAATTTTGCAGGAAATCATTACGATAATGTGGTGGAGATGATCGACTGATTTTACAAGTAGAATTAATAGATCTTCCTATTTATCCAATTTAAGCTGAAATGTTAGAGAAAGTTTGTTTTTTTTTTATTTTATTTTATTTTATTTTTTTTAAACTATCAGCTTTTAAAAATAAGCTTAATTTATTTTCTATTTAAACAAACAAAAAAAAAAAATGCAGGAAGGCTTAAAAGATGGAGTTAATTTTCTTGTCCCTTCTCGTCTTTCTATCACTTTCCAATGAGTCTAAACAGGAAACTTGATTTTCATTTCTAATATTGTGTTTTTGTTGAAGCCAGTTTTGTTTTGGCTGCACTGCTGCACTTAAGTAATTTATTTGATTCACACGAGAAACCAACTTTGTCTTCCCATTGGCTGTTGAACCAGAAAGAAAGTCACAATGTTGCAGGGAGAAAATGATCTGAAAAGGAGAAGTAATATTTGTATACACTTTATCACCTATCAATTTACATTGTTCAGTATTTGTGACACTTTGGGGAATTAATAACAAACCTGGAGATGTCGTAGACAGCAAAATTAGTCAAACTTTTTCTGCAGAAATATTTCAATATTTCCACATTGTCTTTTTCAATTAGGTTTTTCTTATGTCTCAATTATTTAGTTATTCACCCACATATCATTCTGTTATATAGTGTTGCACAGAGAGTGCTTGATGTATAATAACAGAGCTAAACTTTATACTATTAATAAATATATATTTTGTTCTTCACTGGTAGCAAAACTCTGAGTTTCATGCTCAATGCAATCATCACGTGTTAATACAACATGAACTTTGGACAGTTTATCCAAAATTCTGAGCACAATATTCAACAATTTATTTGAAAATTTAAAAAAATAAAAGAAGATTAAACATACCTTGTCAGTACTTTTTAATCAAACTGGTTTGTGTAATCTATATATATAACAATATCTCTCTCTCACATATATATAATATATGAATGAAAAAATATACTCTTAAGGTGTGCTTTATTTATAGGATAAAGTGCTCAATATCAGAGTGAACATTGAAGTCAACACTTAGAGGCAACAAGCTGTTTCATGCTAGACACAATTGTCAGGCCTGATGATTGCATCTAGCATGAAACAGCCTGTCACCTCTAAGTGTTGACTTCAATGTCCACTTATATATATGTTCTCAGCCTTTTTATTTTTTAATTTTTTAAGGTTACTCAAATATTCAGGCTGATAGACAAAAATAAATAAATTCACTGTTTTATAAATAAACGGAGCATGTTGGATTAATAAATAAATATCCACATTCAAATTCTGTTGGAGAGTGCATGTTTTTCTTTAATAAGATTACTTGAATATTCTAGTCAGTAGATGTAAGTAAATAAATAAATCTACTGTTTAGTAAATAAACAGTCTCCTCAAGTACAAATATCCGCTAAAAATATTATTTAAAGTGATAGAATCTGTCAGATTAATAAATAAAAATCCATTATTTTAGAAAATATAAACACAATGACACATGGGTGGGTAACTAAATGATATATAATGTGTATGTACCTGTAGTGTTGCAATTACTAGATCAGAAAGAGAAATTGTAGAGACATGTTCAAATTCTGGTTGAGTTCATTACATTCACTTTTGCACATATACTCAAGAGAAAACTATGTATCCCATGCTCTACCTCCAGTTATAAGTTAAATAGCAGAGCAAACTGGGTCCTCCAGCCTTGTTTGGCAACCAGTCTAAGAGAAGACACTGAATTCAAACCTATATATTTGATTGTTTAGAGAGTTTGTTTGCACACTGTTCACTAGTTCTGTTATTTTTTCTGTAAACTGTTGCAGGTTCTTCACAAGACTTCACCACTAGAATCAAATAATCTGTGTGGGGAAATCTAGTGGTTTAGTTCTAATGACGTGAATTGTTAAACCTTCATATCATGAAAATTGACACGAGAGTTCACTACTATATAACAGAATGTTTTGTGTACTATAGTTTCACAATCCAAGTGGACTAATAACTTAAATAACTTGGTTTCATTTAAATACAGATGTTCTATTTCAAGATTCATCACTAAAATCTTTTTTACATCATCCCGGATATTTCCAAGAAATTTTTTTCTTCTTCAAATGTAATTCATTATTCATTCACATACAACTTCCACATGTTGGTTTGGATAAATTTAGCAAGTGTTTTCCTTTACTTGTTCAGACCAAAATATTACTGATCTTGTAAGTATGCTATTGGGATGACCTTTGCCAAGAATAACCCATACAACTTTAAAATTTAACTTACACTTTCATTTCCTAATCATTGCTTTCCATAGGCATACTAAAATAATAATAATAGTAATTATTAACTTTTTTTAATCACACCTCATATGAAATATTTACCATATCCCATTTTTTAACTTTTCTTCTTATATTCCATAGTTCCTAAACATATGTGTTATGTCAGACAAATGTAGCTAACAAGGGTTGATTATTGTAAGTTAAAAATACTAAATAACATGTAATTAGGCTTATATGTATTTACTGTGTATTGTTATTCTTATTGTAAACATCAGATGAATTTTTTTTTTTATATGACATTGAAAATCAAATTTTCTAAAAGGAAGACATTTTAATGTAATACATTTTATAAGTGGCATCACAGGACTGATTTTAAAAATTATTTTACATATACACGCACATACATATATATATATATATATATATATATATCACACATTGACTGTCGGTGTTAACAAAATAGTTCTCAATGTAGAATAACAGAGCTATAAATTATATATTAATAATAAATATACATTTTTTTTCCTTCTCTGATGGCAAAACTCTGAGTTTCATGCACAATACAATCTTCAATAATATATATTCAATAATAATGTATATTTAATAATGTATATTTTGGCAGCAACCTTTCTGTTAAACATGTTTTGTTGAATATGAAAGACAAAGGAAATTTTTTTTAATTTTTTATTTAGTTTTTCTAATATCTTTATAATTTTTCTTTTGGTGGGAGTAATGGAAAATGTAAGAATGTTAGATAAACTGAATAATAATTTCAACAAATTTTTCTTGTCTGTCCTATTCAACGATATATATATATATATATAACAACCAATTTGTGGTTATGAGTAGAAAGGAAGATTTAACACAAGATGAGGTTTCCATATTTCAAATTGATTCATTATTTCTAACAGTTGACAGCCTGCCTTCCTGTACTGGGTGCTTGAAAGACTGGAAAGAAAGTCATTTCTTGTAAATTGTCATTGTCTGTGCAATATTCTCTTTATCTCCCAAGGCTATAGAACCCAGTCTGTCCTCCTGTTTACCCATAGCTGGGGGGGAAAAAAGAGTTGATTCATACTCTTGCTCAAGGTTATTAATATGTAAGTGAATGTAATGAATTCACTTGGAATTTGAACTTTGCTCTCAGATTCCTCAATCCAAGCTGCAATTACTCTACCATGTCTCCAAAATTAATAAAGAAAAGGAAATTGTGGAGAGCCATGATCTCCTTTGTCATGAAGGGGGGGAGACAACTCTGAATTGAAAACTGTATAAAAATCAATAGGAAACTGAAATAATTGTCAATTTTTATATTTGTTCCATGGTGGTCAAATCATCATCAAAATGTCTCTTCCCTTAATCATGTCCTTTTTATCCAACCAGAAAAGTATACCATTTGATCATGACCCTCTCTTGTCAAATCATATTTCTGAATGCATATTGGACTATATAAAATTTTATGAAGGCAAGTGTGAATCTCTTTTGTAAAGATACTGTCTACTCAGTAATAAGTATTGATAACCTTTTTTTTTAGGTATGAAACTGCTGTTTTACCATTTTGTTTATTGAATTAACTGTATTGGTAAAAGAATTTTTTTGTAATGTAAATGAAAATCATATCTTTGTATTTGTTTATTAAGTATTACTCTTTTTAATAATTTTCAGATGATATAAAGTTGACGTTACCACCAAGTCCACTAACCCTAAAAAAGCTGGAAAATGAAAGACCAGGTAAATAATTATTTTATATGATCTTAGTTTCATCAAATTATTCAGGTGGGTTATCGAAAAGTACTTGTTGTACCTCTGAAAAGTGGAGCTTATTTGCTTGCTTGACCTTGTTTTTACTGTTTTGATTATATTGGAATTTCTAAGTCATAGAAAGTAAAACAAAGGATGGTTTGTGATTAATATGATCCCCCTCTCACTCCTCCTTGACACTGTTGAATTTTGGTCATTATGAAGGAAATAACACTCCTTCACATTGTTAAAATTCCATTTCTGAATCAAATATTACAATTTAAAAAAAAAAAAAATGACCCCCCCCCTTACTCAGCAATATGGGTCTGTCAAAATCCAGAGTGTTTTTTTTTTTTTTTTTTTTAATATGAAACTTAAAGCCTTGGTGGCTTAGTGGGGGTGGAGGAGTTAGTTTCTCACCATTACTTTCAAATCTATGTATTTTATGGATTTTATCCAAGTAGGTTTATAAACAAATGGTTATTTTGTATTGCAACAAAATGAACTTGTAATGATATCATAATTTTTAATTATAAAATAAAATTTGGAATTTACATTGCAGCTGGTTTAATTATATATTTTTGTTTTTAAAAAAGATTTATTGTTTCGAAAGCAATGTTATAGACGTTTGCATTGCTTAGCCTGGCACAAGGCTATAATATTTATGCACTTAATAAAGATTAAAGTCTCTACTCTTGTATTGAATAATGAAGATGAGATTGTTCAGGTTCACTGTATAGCTGATCACCATGCATGTCTGAGTGGGTGCTGAAAAGTTTTCAGCCCAACCATGAAGACTCTTCCCCATCCATGCACACGCCTAAAATCTTGATATTCACTCAATTTGTCAGATTTTGGAAAGTGGATAGGGTTGAGGAATTTCCAGCATCCCAGTGCGTGTGTGTTATCTGATTGCTTATCATGTTTGTGTTCTTTTAGATCTTATTACAATGTTATATATATATATATATATATATCACATTGAGTGTTGGTGTTAATAAAATAGTGCTCAATGTAAAATAACAGAGTTATAAATTATTAATAATTGGTGAGGGTAAAATGTATATTTCTTATTAACTAGCTTAAAAGCCACATTATTGGGTGGCAATTAAGCTAGTTCCTGCAGAGGGTTGCTCTTGATTGGGCCTTCAGCATGTCCAGCAGTTTGAGAGTCCCTGTCTTTGTACATTCTTAGCATTGGAAGCTCTCCTGGCTGTTGTTTGTTCTGAGCCTTCATTTGCATGGGACTTTCTTTTCTTCACTGCAACCTTGGCACTTTTGACTTTAATCTGGTCCTCTGTTGGGGGATTTTTTTTTTTTTTTTTTTGCAAAGCATACTGCTGCTGTATGCAAAAGGCAGCAATAAACTACAGAAGAACTCAAAATTGATAATTTCAATGATAATTCTTCTGCTGACACTTAATTTAAAGACAATTTGCTGTATATAGGTCCTTACTTTCTGTACAAACAGTTATTTTTTTTTTTCATGGGTGACTTTCGCTGGATTTTGCAATTAATTTCAATTACTCCCAAATTATAAAAATTACTATACAAAAAGAATTTGTCACAAACAAAAAAAAGAAAAAGAAAAAAGTCACCCAAAACAATCACAATAATGAAAACTTGGGAATCCAAAATTTTAAGATTGTGTGTCCAGATCCGAGCCAGAATGTTTTTAATTTGCTCAGGAAGTTGGCCTGATTCCAAAATGGAATCCGGCCATATGTTGGGCTACGGCCTCTAGGAGTAAAGTTGAGAAAGTGTGACACACTGACATTCACACGCACGCGCACACACACACACACACACACACACACACACACACTTATGTGTGTGTGTTAGAGAGAGAGAGAGGTAGGGAGTGAGTCTGTGCAAACATAGGAATCAACACTATATGATAACTGTCAGTTTCATACATCAATACAGGCCAAATATGTGTATATAAGTAATGTAATACTTAGGACCAATACTCTCTGTGGCCTTAAGCATACCAGATCAAATGGTGGTTTCTCTTACAAAGGGAGATGTAGGTTTAAGAAATTTAAAGTATGCAGGCCAATATTGAGAGATGCAATACACACTGTTTAAGATAAAAATTGGATGTCTATTTCAAACAAGGGTATCCACTAAAAAAAATGTTTGAAATGATAAAAATGTCAGGTTAAAGATAAATTAATTCTTTAGAAATTGCATAATAATGTAAGAAACAATTTCTTTTGTTTTTATTTTGTTAGTGTATCCCTGTAAGACAACTTATTTGCATTTTTTTTGGTTTTCTAATAGAATGAACACACTTTACAAGAATGAGGATGTTACTCTCCCCAAAGAACACTTTTTTTTTTTTTTTTTTTTTTTTTTGTTTTTTTTATTTTGTGGCCTCCTCTCCCATTTTTTTAATACTCTCTCTTCAGTTCTCTTTACCCACAATGTTCATTTTTCTTTTTAATAAGTTACCCCAAAATGCTACATGTTGTCCTTTCTTTTTTTTTTCTTTTAAAAAAAGAAGTTTTTCTACAGCCAAACATATTTACAAAATCACAATAATAAATTTAAAATAGAAATATGTACAGTAATATAGTATTAGGCTGAGTCATATGTAATTTCCGTTTTTGTTTATCAACTTTATTCTTAAAAAATATAAAGCACAATTATATTTTATTCAATTATATATTCACCATTATTTACAACGACATGTTGCCACTTATCAGGCAGCTCTTGATGTCTTCAGGTTAAAATTCTGCAGGTTTTTTTATATGAAAAAGTTTTTGACAAACTCTTGAATTTGGTTTTCATTTAAGGTTTCCCCATCGAAACATTTTGCAGCTGTCAAAAAATAAGGTAATCAGTTGATTTAAATTATGGTGGATAAGTGTAGAACAGACCAACTGAGTTTCAATTTTCTTTCTAGGCTATTCTTGTGTTATCATGGAGAACAATATTTTTCCTATGACAAGTGCAGGGAGCTTTGTGACCAACTTTTAATGGACATGTTGCAGCTGCTGGACATATAAATGTGCATTTAGTGTTTCATTGTATATTAAAAACTTTAAATGAATAATACCCCAATGATACCACCACATCTAAAATATTACCTTTCTCTCTCTCTTCTTTTTTTTTTTTTTTTTTTTCCTTTTGTGGAGATTTATTCTTGTCAATCTACTGACTTTTGTGTTGAACATTGTTATATGGGACACATTTTTCATTGCCTATTTTCGTATATTTCAGGAACAGTTAATGAGCTATTTATAATTGGTTCCCAAAGACAGGCATTACTTAAGACTCCACCCAATATTTTTAAAATGCTTTTTACCATTGAATCTAAGGATTTCGATGTTAGGCTTTCATTTATTGATACGATATAGTTTAAACAATTTTTTTTTCTTATTATTAGTAGCATCTTTTGTACAAGCATATTTTGACTACTTTCTCACTTTTATCTGTAGTCTTTGTCCTTCACCTTGTCTATATAACATCAGTACATTAGAGGCAATGTCATATTTGGATTTTCTTTCTATCAAGTATCAGAAATGTAATTAAGGTGTTCATTTTGTGTTTTTTTTCTTCCATTTGAAATTTATTTCAGATTAACTGTCAAATAATGTACACTGGGTAAATTCCACAACTTAACCTTTCCTCATTTTAGAAAATGATGTTAGCTAAAGTTAAATACAGAATAGTTGGAAGCTTCTCATGTTTATGCTATCTAATCAGCAGTGTTACTTTTTTTAATGATTATTATTTCTACTTTTATTCTTTTGTTGAGAATATTTTTTTTTTAATATCCTGTTGAGGGATATACCTTTTAATTCGGTTATTAATAGCAATTTTTTAAAATCCACATGAATATTTATAATGCCATCCCATTTTCAATTGGGTCCCATTGACTCCGTTTTTTAACACTTTTTAGATTGGATTTGTTGAAATTTTTTTTATATACAGGGACATTCAGTCTGTACAAGGCCCAGGGGCCACTTGAAGTAGAGAGTTACATTAAGAGGCAGTTTAGGAGAGGAAGATAACTGTTTAACAGTTTTTAGATAGGATTCTGATTTCTCTATAGAGAGCATGAAAGAAGACTTGCAAATTGCTTATAATACTTCTATTGCTGCTTGTTCATTCTGATTTTGTTTTTTGGGTTTTTTTTTTAGGTTTTTTTTTTTATATATACACTGAGATTCACTCTGTACAAGGCCCAGGGGCCACTCAAGATAGAGGGTTACATTAAGAGGTAGTTTATATGGATAGGAAGGGAAGATAATTGTTAACCCTAAACTTGGACAAGTTAAGATTGTTATGATTTGGGGGAAATATCCTCTTGGGAGTCAGTTCCACAGAGCTGTGATTTGTGGGAAGAAGCTGCTCAAGTGGAATATGGAGGGAATGTGGGTGGTTTGATACAATGTGAATGTCATGGCAGGTTTTAGCCATCAAAGTTAAAACTGACGGAACTAAGGAATTTAGTTTGTCTGAGTTCTTTCCATTGAAGTAGTAATAAGATCAATGAGAGGATTGTCATATTCTGCCTACTGAAACAATGAACTTGAGCTTCATCTCTCTTTAGGAAGATTTTTGGGTTTTTTTAATGCTTCATATTAGAAAATTATATTTTTTTATTTTATACTTGCTGCTTAATATCTTTTGCTTGTTGCTTTATCTTTGTTAGGAACTTTTTAAAAATTGCCATTTTATTATTAATGCAGTTTTTTTGTGTGTGTGTATATATATATATATATATATATATATATATATATATATATATATATATATATATATAATATCAATTGATAATTAGGAAGGAAGGGGGCAGTGTCCTGCTGATATATGTCCAGTTTCCTCACTGACCAACATTTCAAGACAAGGTTTGATCACTTTGTCCAGCAGCTTCATGTAGACGGTTTGAAATTGGTTACGTGGTTGAAGAGAGAAATAAAATATACTGCCCAACACAGGGTTTGAGCTCACAACCTTCAGTCAACCAGCTAGAGACTTTA